GACCTCCGAACCTGAGATCCAGCTGTGGTTCTCATGACAGCTGGATCCCCCCGGCCTCTGAACCTGAGATCCAGCTGTGGTTATGCTGACAGCTGGATCCCCCCCACACACCTCCGAACCTGAGATCCAGCTGTGGTTCTCCTGACAGCTGGATCCCCCTGGCTTCTGAACCTGAGATCCACCTGTGGTTTTGCTGACAGCTGGATCCCCCCCCCCCACACACAAACACCCCTGAATCCGAGATCTAGCTGTGGTTCTGCTGACAGCTGGATTCCCCGACCTCCAGCTGTGGTTCTACCGACAGCTGGATCCCCTCGGCCTCTGAATCTGAGATCCAGCTGTGACTCTCCTGACAGCTGGATCCCCCCGACCTCTGAACCTGAGATCCAGCTGTGATTCTCCTGACAGCTGGACCCCCACCCCCCTCGAACCTGAGATCCAGCTGTGGTTCTCCTGACAGCACCAACCACCCAGCTCCAACATGTGGGCAGATGTTACAGATGTGATCAGCAGCTCTGAGGACAGTGCGCGTCTTTTGAGGCGAACAGTGAAATAAAAGCACGTGAGACAAACTCTAAAAACACAAAAGGATCATCTGAACACGTCACGTGATGAGAACCCGACGTGTTCATTCGTTGAGTCTAAATGAAGATCTGCAGCGTGAGCTCACGCTCCTGATCATCTTTGACCACACACAAAAAACTTTGCTTGAATGTTGCGCAAGAGATAGAGTTTAAACCGCCGGAAGTTTTCTCTGCAGATGTGTTTTCCAGCTGTTTCGTGCATGCGCTGCAGGCTGAAGGCGCTGTGGCCTCCTGGACCTCAGGCCGGGCTCAGAGGAGGAACATTCCTGAGCAGGAAAATGGAGGCAGTCCTGTTCACTCCAACAGGCTGGGAACTCCCTGGGTCTGGACCAGTGTTCCCAGTCTTCGTCCTCTTACACCCTCCACCACACAAACGTTCCCGAGCAGCAGACCCAGGACGGTCCCAGCACCACTCCCCTCTGAAGAAAGGAACTCAACTTACCATGTGAGAAGCAGCAGCTACAATAAACTGCAGAGAAGTTCCGTCAAACGGCGACTTGTAAAGTCCGTGTCGAGGGTGGAGGAGCTCAGCGAGGGTGGAGGAGCGGAGTCAATGTGAAGAAACGAGCCTCCATTTTCTGCTCCCACTCCAGCAGGACCAAGAAACGCAGCGCAAAGTTGGACACTCGCTGCATTGTTCACATTCCACAGGTCACGTGACGGACCGACCTACGTCAGCACCTGGCCAAAGATCGTTTATTTGCGAACACCGCTCACTACTCCGCTCGTTTCCGGGTGGAAAACGGATAAATCAAGTTTAAAACAGAAACTGTTAAAAAGTGCTTAACAAAAAGATCACAGCATCAAATAAAAAGTATCAAGATATATTTACAGCACATGGAATAAAATATAAAAACAATTAGAAACGATGAAATAGTAAATCAGATCACTTTGTGTCTAATGTCAAGGAATAAAAAACACAAGCTCAGTCAGAAAGCATGAAATATTAAATCAGATCAGATGACCGTGTGTTAAATAGGAATAAAACAAGGGCAGCACAGTGGAGCAACTGGTAGAGCTGCTGCCTCTCAGAAATCCCGGCAGGGGCCTATCTGGGTGGAGTTTGCATGTTCTCTCTGGGTTTTCTCCAGGTACTCGTTTCCTCCCACAGACCCAAAACATGTTAGACTGACTGGTAACTCTAAACTGTCCCTAGGTGAGAGAGAGCGAGAATGGTTGTCTCTATGTGTCCCTGTGATGGACTGGAGACCTGTCCAGGTGTCCCCCGCCTCTCAGAGTGATCGCTGAACATGGGCAGCAGTGACCCCCCCATGTCCCAAATAGGAAGAAGTAGGTAAATGTAATGGATGGATGAAGGAATAAAACAAAAAGCATAAACAATCAAAATCAATGAAAATCTAAATCAGCTCACACTGTTACCATACCATTTTATTTATAAAGCACTTAAAACAGCAACAAGGCCAACCAAAGTGCTGTACAGACAGAACAACAGGTAACACACAAAGCAAAATACAAAATGAGGTAAATCAGAATATAGACATAAAAACGATGCAGATAATGACGACAAACCAGTGTGGAGCATACAGGATCAAACACAGATCATCTGGTGTTGAAAGCTACTGAATAGTAGTGAGTTTTTAAACGGGACTTGAAAACCGAGAGGGAGGGGGCCTGTCTGACAAGCAGAGGTAACTCATTCCAAAGTCTTGGTCCTGCTACAGAGAAGGCCCTGTCACCTCTGCGCTTAAGACGAGTTCCTGGAACTGTGAGGAGCAACTGGTCCGCTGACCTCAGGGAACGTGGTGGGACATACGATTGTAGCAGATCAGAGAGATGGGGGGGGGGGGG